GAATCTAATGAGCAGCACAAACTGATGAACAAAAATAGACCCAGAGACATAGAAGCATCAAACAGACTATCAAACATCAGAGGGAAAGCTAGGGAGGGTGGGAAAGAGATCAACCAATGAGCCCAAATGTATATATGCATAACCCATTGACACAGACAATAGGGTGGTGAAAAACTGGGGTGGCAGGTGGGGGCAGGGTGGTAGAGGTCAATGGGGGAAAGCGGGACATATGTAATACTTTCAATAATAAAGATTTTTTTAAAAAGAAAAAAAATTTTAAATAATTTGTTACAACACAGTATAGGATAGCTAAATCACACACCATCAGTAAAATATTATTTTTAAGATGTGGAATCTAACCATGATCTTTAATTTTAATTTGTGTGTTAATCTTTTACTGGGACAGGATGCCAGGGTTCCATTTGCTTGACTTTGACTTATTTACCTATGCTTCTCTTTTCCCATTTCCCCTCTACCCACCTCTAGGGACAACCATTTAATTGAGGGTAGGTGGAGATTGTTTCCATCCATGCCTTCAAGAATTGCCCAGATTGCAATCTGAGCTATCCATTTTTTTCTTGCCAAAGTGTGTGGTTGATTGATGAGTGCTTCATCCAGTCTTGAGCCAATCCATACATGGTGTTCCTCCAGCTCCAGAGTTCATTTGAGAGTGGGCACATTATCCAGATCTGTTATTGTTAATGCCAGCTTGAGTTTGGTTTTCTGTGCTAGCTGCAGGGAGTCTTATCTAACATAAATACCATCTTGCCTCATTTTTACTCAGTAAATTCTCATAAGGATGGGGATAATGTAGATGATATCAAACAGAACGGGAAACTTCAAGTTTTTGAATATTTCATGGTGTCAAGAAGGAAGGCTCTTAGCTGGAATATAAAAGATTTGACTGAGAAACTCATTTCTACCGCTCACACACTGGGCAACTTTGACAAATTCTCAGACTCTCCGAGCTTCCTTTTTCTGTAATATGATGATGATGATAGTATACACCTCATGACTGTTACGAGAACTAAATGTATTCTATGTAAAACAGCACAGTACATATTCAATAAATGCTACCTATTAACATTGTAATCTTTGGGAAAAGTTGATTAGTTATAGGTCTTGAAAATATTTTATGTCTCTAATGTCTTGTTGGGTTATATTCAGTGTGATACTGACTTTTATGCAATTTCAACATTGCAAATTTCACATACTTAAAAGATTATTTGTACTTGATGCATTTAAGAATTGAAAGGAAAAGAAATTCAAGTGAAATGTGCTTTTAGGGCTCATTCATCTATTGTTCAGAAATTTCAGTTGCTGTAGGGGAAACTAAGCAGCAGAAGAAGAAAACTAAGGGATCTTCTTTGTTACTTTTATTCATCAATACACCTAACAGGAGGCAGGTTCTTAACCCCAACATTTTAATGATGTTTAGATAACCTCCCATCTGCTGAGAAGGTCAGGGTGTTAGCTCTGAGGAGCGAAACTGGCAATCGCTGACTCCAGCTACTCAGTATTCTATATTTGGCGATTGATATTGGCAAGTTTCTCAGTTTTTACAGAACTAATTTTCTTTCATTGTAAAATGGACATTAGTTACTTGTTTGGAGATGGATTATTAAGTGATCTGGGATTTCTGTATTTCAGAGCCATAATTTCTGAGTGGGGATGAAAGACTGATTGGTTTATACAAAATGCCTTTGTGAGCTTTTGTTTATCTCTTATGAGTCAGTTTAGATTTTGTGACTATGTCTTATTCTGGTGTAGCTTGCATCAGTTTCTGGCTCATTGCATTTGTTTCCTTATGTGAATAATTTTTCTCTCACAGCTGAAATGCTCTATTTGCTACCACCTCATACCACTCTTGACTATATTCATACTGAGTGAATGAGGTTATGCAGTAGAGCTCAAGTCTACCACGGGCATCCCTTTTCAAGGCAGGAAAGGAAAACAGTGAAGGTAGAGGAAAGAAATATGACTATAGCAAAAGAAGGTGGACACTCTGAGTTTATCCAGGTTGGTTTGTCTTCTCACAAGGGATCCTTTGGCGAGGAGTAAACTGTTAAAAAATAAATTAGCATGGATAGACACTCAGAAATAAGAACGATAAAGGAATTACAAAAGCCCTATAAAAATATGTGTATTCAGTAGTGTGGTAAGCTAAATATTTAGGAAAATCCACTCAATATAAAATATCTATCAAATTAAAATTTCATAATATCGTGAACTGAGGTCAAGAAGATTTCTAAGTAAGCCACTATTTATCTACAACTTATATTACTCAGGACATTTTTCCCCCAAAGGACACTTTTTAAAGTGATCATGATATGACTGCTTTTCAGTTCAACAAACAATTGTGCAATACTCTCTTCTGCAAGGCAGTGTGTTAGACTCTTGATACAAA